ACTCATATTTGAAACCTAGAGCTCAAAACTCAATCGGCACGTTTTACGGTGCAATCGTACCGCGGTATTTTTACCCGCGAAATACACTATTCACTGATTTTTCTGAAACTTGCCTGTCCACTCAATTTTTCGTTCTGAACCTATTTCCAGGGTTATTTTTACCATCTGAGACCTTCTACTCAATTTTTATCTTCCTAGGGTTGCGTGTTGGCTAATTACCGTTTTGCCCTTTCTTTGTATTTTGGCCTAATCTTTTGGATTTTCACTAATCCATCACTTGATTGCTCACTTAATATTTTAATTACTTGATTTAAAATTGTGAGGTGTTATACAAAGTCCCAAGAGCAAAGTAAGGCTACCAATCACTGTAAAAGGCAAAATCCCAGCTTTCCACCACCGTCAGCCACCGTCAGCAGCCGTCGAAAAATTTTTCCGGCGACATTTCCGGCCAAGATCCGCACCATTCGAAACAGAAGGAGCCGGTCTACAAGTTTCAAGAAGGACCATCAGATTCTGCTGAGCCACACGCCCCCACGCGCTAGAGAAAGGATGGAGCGTCCGCCCTACGCGTTACCACACGCAGCCATGTTGATTGAAAGTAAATTTCCATCCAGCAATGTTGCTCAACAAGGTATAGCTTTCCATGTTGATAATAGTAGTCGATGGATTCTTGATTCAGGGGCTTCAGATCATATGATAGGTAATGCAACCTTATTTTGTTCTTATACCCATTACTATCAACAATCACGAATAAGAACAGCAGATAGCAGCTTCTCTACTATTGCTGGAAAAGGATCCATTAAACTTTCTGAACACATTACTTTGAACTCAGTCCTTCATGTTCCCTCTCTTACTTGTAACCTTATCTCTATCAGCAAACTTACGTCTGAGTTACATTGTGTTGCCAAGTTTGCTGTCAATGCTTGTGTTTTCCAGGAACAGGACTCGGGGCTGATGATTGGCAGTGCTAGAGAGGAAGAAGGACTTTATTATTTAGAAAAAGATTCTTGTGAAGGAAAAATTTTTGTGAACCACTCGGTATGTTTGTCTGATGATTGTAATGATGTTTTGTTGTGGCATCGTCGGTTAGGACACCCAAATTTCATTTATCTTCAGAAGTTGTTCCCAAGCTTATTTATCAATAAAAATCCCAGTTCTTTTTCTTGTGATATTTGTCAGCTTGCAAAACATTCTCGTGTTTCTTATCCTCCTAGAGTCCATCATGATTCTTCTCCATTTACCTTGATTCATAGTGATATATGGGGTCCAGCCAGTGAAAAAAATATCTCTGGTGCTCGTTGGTTTATAACTTTCATAGATGATCACTCTAGGGTATGTTGGGTATACCTTCTAAAGGATAAGTCTGACGCTGCATCCATTTTTAAAAACTTTCATGCTATGGTTCAAACTCAGTTCCAGACCTCTATCCAAATTCTTCGAACTGACAATGGTACTGAATATTTTAATTCTGTTCTTGGAAACTATCTCAGCCAACATGGTATTCTTCATCAAAGTTCTTGTCCTAACACCCCTCAACAAAATGGGGTGGCTGAAAGAAAAAATAGACATCTCCTTGAAGTTGCTCGAGCTCTTATGTTTACCATGCATGTCCCTAAATATTTGTGGGGGGAAGCTGTCTTGACTGCAGCATACCTCATCAATCGGATGCCTTCTCGTGTCCTAAATTTTCAATCTCCTTTATCTTGTCTTACCCACACCTTTCCTTCTTTTCGGGCTCATTCTTCCCTTCCTCCCAAGTTGTTTGGCTGTGTGGCTTTTGTACATGTTCCTTCCCATCAAAGGTCCAAGCTCGATCCTAAGTCCATTAAATGTGTCTTCATAGGATATCCTCCTAACCAAAAGGGCTACAAGTGTTACTCATCTTCACTTCGTAAGGTCTTTGTTTCTATGGATGTCACATTTGATGAGAGACAATCTTTTTTTCCTTCGACTTCTCTTCAGGGGGAGTCTATTGGGGTTGATGAAGATAAGTCTTGGAAACCAAATGATTCTGTTGTTTTGCCTTTGCCGTTGGAGACAGGGGAGTCATTATGAAAAAGACAGGGGGAGTTAATGTGTCAGATAATGGAGATCCTCCCGGGAAATGGGAAAAGTTTTACAGCAGGCGAGAATCACCTCAGGAGCCTCTAGACTGCCAGGATTCTGACTCGAGTCTTAGTTCCAGCAACACTGATACAGCCAACCTAGATGTGCCTATTGCTCTCCGAAAAGGTACTAGATCTTGTACTGCTCATCCTATTTCTCATCATATCACATATGAAAAGTTGTCCCCAGGTTTTCGTGCTTTCAACACTATGTTAGACAGTACAAAAATACCAAAAAATATCCAAGAAGCACTTGATGATCCAAAATGGAGGAATGCAGTCTTTGAAGAAATGGATGCACTCAACAAAAATGGAACTTGGGAGTCTGTAGCATTACCCAGAGGAAAGAAAACAGTAGGTTGCAAGTGGGTGTTCACAATAAAGTTTAATGCAGATAACAACATCAACAAGTATAAGGCCAGACTGGTTGCTAAGGGATTCACTCAAACTCATGGGATAGACTATCAAGAGACATTTGCCCCTGTTGCCAAGCTTAACACTATCCGAGTTCTTTTATCACTTGCTGCAAATCTTGGTTGGCCCTTGCAACAATTAGATGTAAAGAATGCTTTCTTAAATGATGATCTACATGAAGAAGTTTATATGGATCCACCACCTGGTTTTGAAAAAGGAGACGATTCAGTATGCAAGTTGAAAAAGTCTCTCTATGGTCTTAAACAATCTCCTAGAGAGTGGTTTGAGAAGTTTACTCAAGCTGTTAAGGGAAGAGGATTCCTCCAAGCTCAGACTGATCACACTTTATTTTTAAAACACTCTAATGGTGGTAAAATTGCTATTCTCATTGTTTATGTTGATGACATAATTGTCACAGGTAATGATTGTGAGGAGATAAGCTCTTTGAAGAAATGTTTAGCTAATCAGTTTGAACTGAAGGATCTTGGATCTCTCAAATATTTCCTAGGCATGGAAGTTGCTCGAAGTAAGGCAGGAATTTCTTTAACTCAGAAGAAATATATTCTAGACCTGTTACAAGAAACAGGAATGCTTGGGTGCAAGCCAGCAGAGACTCCAGTTGAACCCAATATTAAATTGGGAATCGAAGATGGGAAAGAAGTTGACAAAGAGCAGTATCAGAGATTGGTGGGGAAGTTGATCTACTTATCTCACACTCGGCCTGATATTGCATTTGCAGTTAGCATGGTTAGTCAATTCATGCATTCTCTTAAGGAAAAACACCTGAGTGCAGTTTATAGAATTCTGAAGTACCTCAAAAACACCCCTGGACGAGGATTGTTCTTTAAAAGGGGACACAAGAGGATGATTGAAATATATACAGATGCAGATTGGGCTGGCTCTGCATTGGACCGAAGATCCACTTCAGGATATTGCACCTATATTTGCGGAAATCTTGTGACCTGGAGAAGTAAGAAACAAACAGTTGTTGCCCGGAGCAGTGCAGAAGCAGAATTTCGGGCTCTAGCCCATGGTATTTGTGAAGGAATTTGGTTAAGAAGACTCCTTGAGGAATTGAAGATCTTTTTTCCCTACCTGTCAGAGTGTATTGTGATAATAAGGCTGCTGTCAGTATTGCTCAAAATCCAGTTCACCATGACAGAACAAAACATGTGGAGGTTGATCGCCACTTTATCAAAGAAAAAATAGATGATGGAAGTGTATGTATGGTGTATATTCCTACAAAAGAGCAGATTGCAGATATTCTCACTAAGGGCCTACACCGGCCAGCCTTTGAAGACTTGATTGGCAAGTTGGGAATGATCAACATTTACCTCCCAACTTGAGGGGGAGTGTAGAAAATCAGAATTCAAATTCAAATATTTTTCCGTTTTTATTTCCTATTAATTAGGAATAATTAAGATTAATTAGGATTGATTGTTTTTTTATTTCCTATTAATTAGGATTAATTGTAATTGATTAGAATTAATTGTGATTATGTTTAGTGAGTCATAGCTGAGTCATTCTTATGATTGTGATTAGGTTTGGTGAGTCATAGCTTAGTCATGCTTAGCTATTTTTCCTTGTATAAATACTCCTCATTCCTCATGTAATTATTCAAATCAATATACTGAAAACCTTTTTCAATAAACAACAATATACATAAGAGAATAATATTCATATCTCTTTTTTCCTCCTTCTCAACCTAAACCCTATAGGTTAAACACAATGACATGAAGTTGTTATCTTTTGGCAATGTTATTATGTTGAGATGAGTGAGGAGAAGTGGAATGATGAATCATTGCATGAAACTACATAAAATAACTAAATGGGGTAGAAAAATATTCTTTTGCATTATCACTATGCAGAATGCAAATAGTTTACCCAAAAAGTTGGGACCTCCAAAGAAGTTTGTAAAAAATCAATTCAACCCAAAAGCTTAAGCTGATGGGTGAGGGCTTTTTAATGGTTTATATTTTCTCTGACAAAGTTTATCAAAATAGATGTTACTCTTTTGAATGAATAAGTTAGCAATTGAATAAAAGATTTGCATAAATGCTATCCTAAATGATCAAGAGACAAAATCCTTTTATCCAGACTAGCAAACTAAGGAAGAGTCAAGGAGACCCAAAAAAGACTCCAATTCAAAGGATTCTCAATCATTTAAGATTCCTTTTGCTCATGTTCAATCTGTTTTCTTTACCCTTCCTTTCTTTTCAAGTCCTAATATTATAATGTAAGACTACTATTTCAAAAGTTCTAAACAATTACATTTGTAGCAAGACTAGCCTAATTTCTCTATCTTTATGTTGTCATAACTGAAAAAAGTTTGCAAGAGAAAAATAAAAAAAAGAACTTACAGAAATTCAGGGGGGGAAAGGACGCAACCAACCAATGTCCATTAGTCTCATAATTGTTAAAGCACAAATCACTAGTGCATAAAAAACTATAAATTGGACAAAAAAATGTGCAATAACTAACCATTGAATTATGACGTCCATAGAGGAAGCACATACTAGATCCATTGCCATGCCTCAGGGCCAAAAGCATTTTCCTTGTATACAAGGCAAGAGATGTTGTATGCCTACAAGGCAACAAATTTTGCATGCTTTAAGATATAAAAATTCAAAGAAAATAATGTTGAAAAAAAGTAAAAACAATATAATAATAAATGATATTTAATACTCGTAATTGCATTAAGAAACATTGCTAGACTTTCAGCAGTACAAAGGGATTTGTAAGGAAATCCTCGGTAGTACCATCTATTTATGCATGATTTACAATATCTAATAATAGGAAATTAGGAATTTGCAGTCTCTAATACTAAAAAATTTGCAATATCTAAGATAAGGAAACTAGCAAATTATTGAAAATAATGCAAATCAAATTCTATTTATTTACAGAATAACCATTCCCTAAATAGAAGATATACGAACTTTTTTTCCTAAATTAAAGATAGTCCCTAAATAGAAGATATAGGAAGTATTTTCCTAAATTAAAGATATTTTCCAACATCTGCTAAATACTTCAGCATTTGAGTAACTAAGTTGAATGATTTATTGCATCCATATCAATGCTTTTATTAAATTGGCTTTAAATTCAATCCTCACACATCCACTCTCATAATTAATTAAGTTTTAGAATAATAACAGTGAGTATAGCGAGCATATCAGTGTGTGTGATGTAGAATACAAAGTAACAAAACACAAAATAACTCAAAAAAATAATAATTAAGCAAGGTCCTAATGTTGTGGGAAGAGGCGTATTATAGCTCTCTAAATTTACAACAAACTCTACCAAAAACTGACATGGTATCAGAGCCTATTTTCAAATGATCGAGAGTTTGATCCTTGTTGCCCCAATATTATAACAAAAAAGTTAAGTTTTGGCATAAGGTAAACCAAAAAGGGATATGTGCATTATCCAACTTCAAAACCCAAAAGATTCTAGCATGAGGGAGCGTGTTAAGAGATACAGTAAATACCTTTTTTGATCCTTAGCAAATTTCACGATACCCTATTTAGTCCCCATGAAAAAAAAAGGCATTCGTGGTGCCTGGTTTTTTCAAATTAGGCTCACGTAAGTCCTTCTGTTAGTGGGGCTCCAATGTCGTTATTAACGAATCTCACGTGTAATGTTAAGTTGCTGAGTCACAATGTCACAATCCACCTTGGACAAAAAACGATGTCGTTGAGTGTATCACTTGCATCTCACTCGAGGTTGCTCATTGCTCATGGTAAAGACAATTGAATCTGAAATATATTGTATATTCAAGTGTGTAAGTCTGTACAAGGAGGCTCTCTATTTATAGAGACTAAAAGACCTAATGGGATGACCTAATGGGCCAAGCCCACAATCTAGACTATTCTAATAATAATAAATTAATATTATTTCTAACACTCCCCCTCAAGCTGGTGCGTATATATCAAAAGCTCCCAGCTTGTTACAAATATGATCTATTCGGGGACCTCTTAGAGCTTTAGTGAATACATCCGCAAGTTGATCATTGGAATTGACAAATGCTGTCTCGATCTCCCTTGACTGGATCTTTTCTCTAACAAAATGACAGTCAATTTCTATATGCTTGGTTCTCTCATGAAAGACTGGGTTAGAGGATATATGCAAAGCGGCTTGGTTGTCACAAATGAGCTTCATAGGCTTTTGTTCACAGAGATGGAGTTCCTTTAGCAATTGTCTCAGCCAGATGAGCTCACAGGTTGCATTTGCCATTGCCCGATATTCTGCCTCCGCATTGGATCTGGCGACCACAGTTTGCTTCTTACTCTTCCAAGAGATCAAATTTCCTCCGAAGAGAACACAATACCCTGAGGTGGATCGTCTATCTGAAGGAGAACCTGCCCAGTCAGCATCTGAATAACTAGAGATCTCTGAACTCCCTTTATTTGTATATAATAAACCTCTTCCTGGCGCCTTTTTAATATATCGGAGAATTCTAATAACTGCATCCCAATCGGAGTCACAGGGAGAATCAATAAATTGACTTGCAACACTGACTGCGAAGGAGATATCTGGCCTTGTCACAGTAAGATAATTCAATTTTCCAACTAGTCGGCGGTAGCGACTGGGATCTGGCAGTGGCTCCCCCTGTCCTGGTAATAACTTATCATTGGGGTCCATAGGTGTATCAATGGGTTTACAGCCTAACATGCCAGTCTCATCTAGGATATCCAGTGCATACTTCCTCTGACAGATGGAAATGCCCCGCCTAGGCTGTGCAACTTTGATCCCCAAGAAATATCGAAGTCTACCAAGATCTTTGGTCTGAAATTGATTGAATAAATGCTCTTTCAACTGATCAATCCCGGTCTGATCACTGCCTGTAATGATAATGTCATCAACATAGACCAGGAGATAAACGCACTGGCCAGAAGAGCTATGCCGGTAAAAGACAGAATGATCGGCTTTGCTTCTGATTAAGCCAAAGGATTCAACAACTGAACTAAAGCGGCTAAACCAGGCTCGAGGAGATTGCTTCAGGCCATATAAAGATTTCCGAAGTTTACATATCATTCCAGAACTCTCCCCCTGAGCAACAAAACCTGGTGGTTGCTCCATATAAACTTCCTCCTGGAAGTCACCATGTAGAAAAGCATTCTTAATATCAAGTTGGAGAAGGGGCCAGTGATGAATGGCGGCAAGGGCAAGAAACAGGCGAATATAAGCCATCTTAGCAACAGGAGAAAAAGGTATCCCCATAATCAAGACCTATTATTTCTAACAAAGACGTTGCAAGAAAGGAAAATAGAGAACCCTAACAAAATTTCCCAAAACCATTTTACGTTCGTTTCTGCAAAAAATGGAGATAATATACTGAAATTTCCCATCGCCATCAACATCGTGATGGTCTCCCCCCATGTTGATGGCATAATCACATGTCCTGTTCCACAGAGAAATATCCTGTAAGTTCTTCACCTCCTACCTCTTCCATCCAATCTTCTTTTGAAACTCAATTAAAGTTACAACATCAGACTCACCACTAGCTTTCATTCTTGTAAGGGTTTGCTCAAGATCAGCAAACACTTCCATCTCTTGTTACAAACTTGCATTAGTTGATATGAACTTTTCCATCCTTTCGATCTTTTTTTTCATCTTTTCGCAAGTGAATTCCCACCCATATGGATTCACATCCATAGTGATGAACTCATAAAAGGCATTCAAAACCTTTCAAAATTGGATCACTACATTTCTTCCCAAGCCTAGCCACAGACCCAGCCACATCTGCCATATTCTCAAGTATCTCCATACAGATCAAACGTTCAATGAAAAAATCATCATCTGAAACTGAAACAAGCTTTCTTATGCCCACTGAATTTGTGATCTCCTCTCTCAACCTAGCAACTTGTTTATCACTCAAAGACTGTCGTATATTAGCCAACAAAAAATACACAAAATAAGATTGTTAAATATCTAATACAGATACCAAATAGATTTCAACCTGTATATCAAATATTTTCAACCTCTTATCTAGAAATTACCCACTACTTGTATGATAGGAAACAAAATATGTTTATAATGTAACTGCTTGTCAGTCAAAAAAAAAAAAATGTTTAAAGACGATGAAGAAAGGAACAAAAAGTGCAAAAGAATATCTAGCCACAATCAAAACAATATGTGATTCGTTGAAATTGATTGGAAGTCCTATAACAATAGAAGAACACACAGAGACTATCCTTGAAGGTCTTCCCTCTTAGTACAATCCTTTTGTAAAGATGGTGCATGGTCGAGACAGATCCTACTCCGTTGCTAATCTTGGAATTGAGCTAATGAGTCACGAACAACTCTCAATCAAACAAAATGAACAGATCTTGGCTGAAGGACCTTAGATAAACCTGACCCAACGTGCTCAGGTCTCGCAGAAAGCTACGTTAATACAACTCACATTCTAGGACAGACAAGTGACTCAATCCACACACAACAATTTCAATGACTACAGAGAGGGTGACACAGATAGCAGTGAAGTTGAAGAGGATCAACCACCACGCGATAGTGAAGTTGTTCATCTTGAACTTTAGTTCCTTCCTTTCATTGCCCAGAGAGTATAATGGTTGATATATTTCTTTATTTTATTTTTTTAATTTATATATATATATAAACACACACACACTTAACTTTCATTTTTATCCTTTTTCAATCTCTTCGTATCTTTCATTTGGGTTCATCTACCACCGACCCCAATTAGTTTGGAATAAAGGTAATATTAATGTTGGATTTTTTTTTAATTTGGGATGATTGAAAATTATATAAAATAAGATTTAAAATGATAAAATAATCAACAGTACCAATTTATTCTAAATAGATGGATCATATTTTTCCACATGGATTTACCATGATCACTTAACAGAAACAAAACCAAAGGATCTATTGAAATGATAGTTAAAGAACTAATCTGAACAACTTTAGAGCTCGTGGTGGTACTTCGCAAAATGTCTCGTTTAGGGTGGCTGAATGTACTTTTCCATATTTTTTACAAGCAAGTGTTTAAAAACAAGTTAAACCATCCATACGATTAACAAGTTTACAAATAGACAACCATTAGAAACTTCAAATGATAGAATGATATTATGACAGTAAAATTCATGTAGGTAAATGGATATTTTATATATTTATCCAATTCTGCATACCATGATATTGCTGGTACAGTAAGAGAATTCAGGATTTTAAAGCCATGGCGGATAGATGCTATGCTCAAGAATGAAACAGTGCCATCCTCAAACAGTTCTTCAATACCTTCTCTTCTTTTAATAAAATCAATGTCAGCAATTGATGCAGCAACCGTTCCTGTGATGAGGACCAGCCAATCAATAATCAAGTATTACGACAAAGAGGCGTGTAACCAGTAACCCACAAACCTCCACTAAAATAAGTCTTCTTCAGCAACTTGGCAGCATCTGGATGCAAAAGAATAAAGAGGATAATCAATAAGAGAGAGTCTTTTACAAAGTCAAATTCAAATTGAATACATATTTTCCATCCATCAATACCCCTACCCTCGATATTTGGGGTTTAATGGGGAGTATTTTCTTTCTTTTTACATATTTTCTATCAATAATGTTGAAATTCTCAGGATTAAACAGAAAAGGGAAAAGAAAGATAATGAAAGAACGCAAACAGGTGTGATAGAATTCAAGAACCAGCAAAAAAAAAAGTGATAGAAAACAGAAGAAAATGAAATAAAGGTTCAGAGAGAATGTTTGAGAATTTTATTATCTAAATAATGATGAAAAAGGAACTTTAAAAGAACCCTTTAGTTTATGTTATATTTATAATAGAGACCGGGATCTGATTCACCTAACAGATTCTAACTCATCTAACTACTTAACAGTTAGGTAGTTAGTTGACAGTTAAACTGACAGCTAGCTACTGAACAGATATGAATTACTCGAACATCACAGCGAGCTATTCAACGTATATTACTCCGACATTTCCCCTTCAAACTTAGGGTGGGTGTATCAATGAAATGGTCAAAACCTTATGTTTGTCCCTTAATTCACAAAATCTGTGTGATGACAAGGCCTTGGTGACGAGATCTGCACACTGGTCGTAAGCTGGAATGTGGCAGACTGTGAGGCTTTTGTATATGAACTTTTCTCTCACAAAGAAAAGATCTAGTTCCATACGCTTTGTCTGAGAGTGTGGCAGACTGTGAGGCTTTTGTATATGAACTTTTCTCTCACAAAGAAATAGTTCCATACGCTTTGTCTGAGAGTGAAGTACAGGCTTATCTGAGAGTGAAATTGTGCTAAGGTTATCACAATAAATGATAGATGTGAAAATCAGCACTTGTAATTCCCTGAGTAGAGTTTGTATCCAGAACAACTCTGCTATAGTGTTTTCCAAGCTTATATATTCAACCTCAGTTATGGATCTAGCCATCAAAAACTGCTTCTTGGACCACCAAGATTAGGTTAGGGCCAAAATAAATGCAAGAGCCTGTAGTAAACCCCTTGTCATCAGGATCCAAGGCCACACCAACACCATGGTAGATTGAAACAACACCAGTTGTAAAAGAGTATTGTAGGAAGCATTATAGGAGACTCCCACCTCTCAGAGCTAACTCAGCAAAATGGTTAGTTAGTAGAGAATATTCTAGAAGTGGGTATGGATAATAAATAGAGAGGAAAGAAATGGAGAAGGCAGGCAATTACTTGGGAATGGGCTAGGAACTTGGGAGAGAAGGGATGAATCTCGAATTGCATCGATTATCTGTAAATTCTTTCAGTCATTTACCTTTTCTGCACTTTGTAATCTTCCTATTTTAGTAGCTACTGTCATTACTGTTTGTAATTTTCCTTTATACTTTCGATATACAAAATCCGGTTAATCCAGGAAATTCCTTTGAATCCCTTTTATTTTCTGTTTTTAAGTCGAAGATCCTATCAATTGGTATTAGAGCTCCTAATCCAGGAGCGCTGAAACCAAGAAAAAAAATGGAAAACAAATTTAGAGATTGGAAGAAAAGAGAGAATCAAGTGGAAAATAGATTTGAAGAATGGAAAAAAAGAGAAAGGAAAGTTGAAGAAAATCATAAGGAGAAACTCAGGCTCCTTGATAAACTTCTTTAGAAGACCAAGAATCACTCTAACAAAAAACGAACGAACAGAAGGCGAGATGGAATGCAAGTTTCACAACCAGAAATGGAAACCAAGAGAGATCTTGTGATGGAGAACTAAGAAAAGAATGGAAACCAGCCACGAAATCATGTGGGGCACGAGCAGAAGAAACCGAGAAGCATAGGGGAAAGTCCATGGATGCGAAGGTTGCACAAGCTTTTGAGACACCATAGCCACCAGTGATGGTGGCCAACCCATCACCATTACCCAAGTCACCATACTTAAATCTTCTTGAGAAGGAAGAGAGAATAAACAATAAAGTGGGTAAGAGGTAGGGAATAGCTGTGAAATGGGTAAAAGAGAAAATTAGGTTAGTAAGGAGAGGACATGAAATGGGCCACTTTAATGAATTGACGGGTCCGGCCCAACTTGGTTGCAAATGCCACCAAACCCAAACCCATATGATTTATTTTTTGAGCGATGAATGGGCATATAATCCCATTTCTTTATGTAACCGAACCAGACCCAACAACAAAGCCAAATTCGAAACTGAACAACACCCAAGCCCAAAAACTAATACTGCATCCTACCATACCACCAAAACATAGACGAGCTGGGGAGAGTCGTCAACAGCTACGATGTCCATGATGACACCTAGGTTTTAGTCGATGAGCTTGGCCGAGTTTCCTGGACACTTGAACCTGAAGTGCAGCCGAAGAAGCTCAAATGCATCATGAACGATGTCAACACAAATTGTGAGTTCACCACCTTCTGTCATTCAAAATCGTCAAACATTCACAAGGAAGAAAGGCATAGGAGATGGCAACCAAAAATAACGAAAAAAGCTAAGTTAGAACCAGAGTTGGGCCAATTTGTTGGTGATGCTGGAAGTTTAGAGCAAATGACCAAAACCCAGATTGTTGGCACTATAATTCAAGCACCTCAATTTCATAAAAACACTATGGTTGCTGACGGTGGTTCACGGTTGAAGCTCCAATTTGATGATTTTCAAGCAAGACCAAATTAAGTTGTAGTGCACCCAGGTCCTGTTTGTTATTTGAAAGTGAGTATTAGTTCTAGCAAAGAAGCAACAATTTTTTATTTTGGTAGGGACTTTAATATTGCAAAGAATTTATATTCAAGGAGGGTTGAGACAGATGTCTGAGTAGCTGCGGTTGGCTGTGGGGAAGATATTTGGGCAGATGATGAAAAGATACTTGCGCAAATTCAGACTGCTTTAGAAGAAGATGGAACAACTACTGACGAGCAATAGGATCCTGGTGGGAACTATAATGCTTCTTGCACAAGTAGGTCCCTATATTACAAGTAATGGGATCCTGGACGATGATTATGGTGAGTAGGCTTTCACCTTGAGGACAAGGTGAAACTTTGAAGGGGGAGGTATTGATACGATACTCGTTGTAAAAGAGTATGTAGGAAGCATTATAGGAGATTTCCACCCGCAAAATGGTTAGTTAGTAGAGAATATTCTAGGAGTGGATATGGATAACAAATAGAGAGAAAAGAAATGGAGAAGGCAGGCAATTACTTGGGACTGGGCTTGGAACTTGGGAGAAAAGGGATGCCTCTCGAACTGCATCCATTATCTGTAATTTCGTTCAATCATTTACCTTTTCTGCATTTTGTAATCTTCCTATTTTAGCACTGCCATTACTTTTTGTAATTTTCCTTTACACTTTCAATATACAAAATCTGGTTAATCTAGGAAATTCCTTTGTATCCCTTTTATTTTCTGTTTCTGTGTCGAAGACCTTATCATAGACCTAAAGACTGATGCACTTACAGTTGGCCCATTGTACATGGCCCAACCATTGATTCAAGAAGCTCGTAGTCGACTAGAGTTGTGGCACAATAAGTATGACCCAATTGTTGAAAAAAGCTACGATTTGAAATATAACAAATTACAATTGAATCCAAGTCCCAATAAAGCAGCAGATGTGATTGTTATTTGTTTGGGAAGAAAAGAAAAGCAACACATTTGGCGTGATTTGAGATTAAAGATTTGGAACGTATTTTGAATGATTTAATTGTAATTATTTATTTATTTTTAGAATCTAATTACTATTATATTTATTTTAGGAAGTTTTCTTAATTCTAGGATTTTAAATTTTTGAATTTTGAATCAATTTGTAATTAGTCTATAAAAGGGTGCTTATAACCCTTATTCTAGGAGTTGAATTTTGATATTTTGTTAATAGAAATTGAGAACCAGAGTGGTACTCTTTTATCGTATCCCAACTTTCTGTTTAGCCACTTTTCTATGCGTTTTCGGCATCATTTGGTATCAGAGCACTGGGTTGCCTTCAACCAATGGCTGAACAAAATCGCGGAGGTCGACGACGGCGAAGTCACGAGGGTAGGGAAGGTGGAATCGTTCCTGAAGAATATAGACAACTGCGTGAGATAGACCCGCGAGATATAGAAAATAAAGAGCTCGGAAGGCGGATCCAGGATTTGAAGCACCAACTTGAGCAAGCGTTGGATAAGAAAATCCAAGTTTTGGAGAGACTACTTGTGCGGGCGCAGAGAAAGAGAATTCAATATTTGCAGCGACTACTAGTGCGGGTATGCATGAAAATCCAAATTTTGAAGCGAACTCTTGTTGAGGCGCAAAGCATGGAAATCCAATATTTGGAGCGTCGACTTGCGTGGACAAAGTTGGCATTCAATCCGAAGAAAGAATGGAATTAGAGGACGAATCTGATGACGAAGAGGAGGACGTCAATCCCTTGGGGATTATAAACCAGGGACAGAATTGGGAAGTACGACTTGGAAATCAGTCCACTTTTCAAGATATCGAGATGCAAATCAGCATTCTTGACTTTGAAGTCTATGATCATAATTCAGTTTATGATGATTATCCAGTCTATGATAATAATCCAATTTATTAATTATCCGGTCTATCATAACAACGATATTTGGCAGTGTTATTCACTTTAATTGTCCACTGGTTTATTTTTTTCATTTCATTATAAATAGCAAATATTTCTTTGCAGATTTTTTGGATATATACATGTGATGATTCTTCCATAAACATTGTTTGTATGTAGCATGTTTGTGTGTTAAAGTTAACTATGTACATGTATTTGTTGATGTTGATGTAAAAAGGTAAATAAACTTCATCTTTTACATTGAATGCTTAAGCATGTTGTTCTTGGATATCCTTGTTTCATTGTTTATGAAGGAAAGTTTTTGTCTTCATTGTATGACACACTTGGAAGGTAGGTAAGAGATACTGTCAAAACATCGACACTTGTAATATTAAGGCCATATATGCTTTTGTGAACCTATGTTACATTTTTGCATTTGTGTAAGTTTTTAAAGTGTTCCAATTTACAATTCAGAATTATATATGTATAATAATGCATCAAAACCACATATTCTGTGGAACAAAATGGGATTTTGGCTTTTCCATATTGAAGTATGTCTGACAAATTTTTTTTAAACTGATGTCTATTTTGTTATATAGTTTTACGGATTATCATTTCTGCTTGGGTGGCACAAGACATAGCAAGGAATGGGCCATCAGTGTTGTCAGTTATGTTCAAATGTTTACGAGTATTGGTTATAATATAATCCTTAACATCTTGTGCTTTGTCTCATGCCTTTTGGTTGACACACTGACTTTGAGACGTATTCATAAAATTGCTATGGTTTTTCATGTGAGGTGTACACGTAGCATTGACAAAGTAATAGCACCCATCTCAAGTGTGGGGTATTAAGCTGAAAAATATGGTTACGGTTTAGGCAACTGGAATGAAAGTGCTTTTAATTATTTATGGGATTTCGCTTAACTAAACCCAACGGGTTGTGTAAATAAAAATCTGTTATGAATTGGTAAAGGAAATAGTAACATAGTAATTTAGTAACATTATAACAGAAGACGAAGACTGTTCTTTGCTCTGTGTCTGTCATATTATTTTTCTGGGTCCCTTGCACTTACAATAGTGATATGAATAGGACGCAAAAAAATTGATGTTACTATTTGTAGCTTGCAGATACTGAAACTGCCACTGACAAAGATGAGTGAAATGGAGTGTTGTGTCATTGTGGTACTCATTGCTTATTTGGACAATTTGCATGAACTCACTACGATGTTTATTGCTATGTGCTTTGTTATTAGTTGATCTCGAAAGAAGGAGAAATGCTAAGAGGAGAGTTAAATGGAATTGTTATAGAAGGTCGACGTTAAGGACTATCAATTTCCATATAATAGTTTACATGAGTGATACAGCTTGTATTGAGAATACAAGGATGAACATGGGGTATTTTTTTAAATTGTGTGAATTGTTGAAAGGTGTTGGGGGGCTTCATCCAACGAAGCACATAGGTGTGGAAGAACTCGTCGCAATATTTTTGCACATTTTGGCTCATGATGTGAAGAATAGGATAATTAAAAGACAATTCATGAGGTCTGGTGAAACAATCAGTAGACAGTTTGCGAAGGTATTATTGGCTGTGTTACGATGTCATACAGTTTTATTGAAACGACCAGAGCCAGTGCCTGCAAATTCAAGTGATGAGAGGTGGAAATGGTTCAAGGTAACATAGTAGTGCAGATAATGTTATATTTAGTGGTTTAGCAAACATAAACATTCCAACACAACCATGTCTTTTGATTACTATGTTTGTGTTTTTGAATTATATAATTGTCTAGGAGCGGTGGATGGGACACACGTCAAGGTTAATCCCCTGCAAGCTGATAAGCCTAGATATCGTATTAGGAAAGGTGAAATAGCAACAAATGTGTTAGGAGTCTATTCGCAAGATTGTCAATTTATTTATGTACTGTCTGGATGGGAGGGATCAACTGCAGATTCAAGGGTCTTGAGAGATGCTATATCCCGTACCAATGGATTAAGGGTGCCAAAAGGTAGTCGAGTGTGTTTCATTATTGGCCATTTTACATGTAGTTAACTTGCGAAATTATTTCAAGTTATTTACCATATTATGGTTTATCTTTTTTTTAGGCTACTATTATTTGTGTGATGCTGGTTACATGAATGAGGAAGACAACCATTTTAACAGTTTTTAGGCAATTTTCACTGTCTTCTTCACTTGGTGTTGTTCAAGACCATTTTCTTTCCTATTTAGCTCTATGTTTTTCTTTTTGTAACATCCCGAGTGCTGACGATTGTATGGTTAGTGGAAGAGCTAACATACAATTGAATGTATGGTTTGTGGAAGAGCTAACGTACAATTGAATGTATGGTTAGTGGAAGAGCTAACGTACTATCAGCGGTAGGGGTACGTGAATGAATCGAATAACACCGGAAAGAGAAGGATTCCAGAGATTGTGCTGGTATAGGACAGCACAGTTGAGGATAGCTTATAAGAATTAATTGGTACTACCTATACTAACAAGATGCATCTACTTTTCGGTAGCCCGGATCGGAAGAACTCCAAAGTTAAGCGTGCTTGACTTGGAGCAATTCAGGGATGGGTGACCTCCTGGGAAGTTTTCCCGGGAAGTGTGCGAGTGAGGACAAAGCACGCTGAAAAGCCTCGTGTTAGTGTGAGGGGATAGTCGTTGATGCTTGCAAGTGGCCGGGCGTTACACTTTTCTTCTTTGTTCTTTGGTTGTACTGCTCCTTGGTATGAGCTAATTTAGTAGGCAAAAATGGGAAGTAGAAGTATTCATCTTAGTCTTAGGTTGAACTTATTACGTAAGTTTGTTCTTGTTAATGGAATTTGTGATGTTTTTGCATTTATGTTCCGGTTGACTAACATCAAAGGAAGTCTTAGGAGTTTAGCTCTCTAGCAAGAGAAAGTTCTAGAACAAGGAGCATTTGTTCTGTATAGAGTTGTTCCCTAGCAACTTCTGCATGCAGCCTTAGAAATAAAGGGCAAGCACAATATTCTTGGGGTCTTAATTCAATTGGACTCTTAAAGTTGTTTAGGGCATAGAAATATGTGTAGACCACCTTAGGTAGCAAAATTTGGTGATAAAGAAATCTGTACCAAAGGCTATGAAAAGTACCCATAGCTAAATCCATTTTCGGGAGCCGATGCAGTTTTAGGAATGACCAAGAGTGGCAAAAATACCAACCTGATCCTACGATTTTATCTTGAGTCAAGTTATGCTTGTGTCTCTAATTTTATTTGTTTGTTCTTTGTTTCTATTTTCGCTCCTTAACTTCTATGATTTCTATTTAGCTCTCTAATTCCTATTTTGCTCTCCAACTTTGCAGCAAGCCAATTGTACAATGTCACTCCAATGACTCAGGTCGTCAGAATTACACCTTTTAAGCAGTTTAATTTTGATCCACTGTCAATTTAAATTATTATTTTTTATATTAATAGTCTAATAATGTGTTGTCATGTCATTAAAAGAGTTTATTTAGATATCAAATATTCCTTGGGCAGCCAAACAGTCCATATCAATTGGAATTTCACTATTTTTTGGCACCAAAAGGCATTGATATTGTAATACCCTATATTTTTATTAATAAAATAATAATAATAATATAATAATAATAATAAACTATAAATTAGTAGTAATAATATATATATATATATATTTATTGGAAAAATAATTTTGATACTTTGTAATACTGTATTAGATGATAAATTATGATAATGATTGATTAGTAAGTCAACAAACATAAATTGTTTAGATATGATGAGTCAACAAACATAAATTGTTTAGATATGATGAGTCAGCATTGAGTCAGTAATGTATAAAGCCAAAATCTGAGCCAGATACATCAATAAAGAAAAAGGAAATAAATGCACGAAACCCATATCTGAGCCTAAAACTTCAACTATAAATAGAGGTCTAGCCTAACCAAACCAATTCACTCTTCAACATTTCTCCTCTACTATTCTCTCTCCTTACTTCAAAAGTTTATTTATTATATTCTTTTGGTTACCAACCGGTTCTCTGCCCCAAATTATTCTCTTCTAGAAGTTAGCGAAAACGAAGACAAGGTAATCCTAATCCTTAGGTTATAATTTTGTTTGAAGTTTATTAGTAATCTTAATCCCTATGTCTTATTAGGATATTTTATGAAATTTTGTGTATCTAATCCTAATCCCTAGAGAGTCATAGATTATATTGATTTGAATTTTGGTATATGTAATCCTATTCGTAGGTTATTTCTTTTATATAAAACTTGGATGTAATCCTAATCTCTAGGTGGTTGTAGATTTGTTGTGTATGAAATTTTATTGGGTGTGTCCTAATCTTTAGGTAGTTATATGTTCGATATATGTAATCTTAATCCCTAGAGAGTTATAGGTTATATTTATATGTAATTTGGTATATGTAATCCTAGTCCCTAGAAATAGGTTAATTATATGAATATTATTGGGTTTAATTTTAATTTTAATTTTGATTAATTATATTGTTGGGAATTTTAATCCTCTAGAAAATATCAGAATTAATTGTGTAATTATTTATATTTGAATAATGGATTTGGAAGTTTTGATATTCTTGGATAAATGATTTGGAAATTATAATGGATTTGGAAATTATAATATTATTGAAAGATTGAATTTTGAAATTATACTCTTGATTAAATTGATGTGGAAATCATGAAAACTATTTGACAATTATGAGAATCGTGACAAGATTGAATTGATTGTATGTGATTGAATAAATTAATAGTGGGAGGATAGCTTTGGGATGGTACCTCCCAAGGTGATGAACACAACTTTTGGGAT